TGGTAAAAGTATCACCATTTCCAAAAAAATATTAAGCAGCACAACTGTTTTTAACATTGATAATTTTAAGAAATATTTATTGAGCCGCAAATTAGGATATTAGAATGATTTCTGAAGGATCATGTGACACAGAAGATTTGAGTAATGATGCTGAAAATACAGCTTTGCTATCACAAAACGTAAAAAATGATACTTTAAAATACATTCAAATAGAAAATATTAAAATAGAAAAAATGTATTTGTTATACAGTTATAAATTATAAACATCACAATATTTTTATTTATTTTTTTTTTTTTTTGTTTTTTTTGTTTTTTGGTGAGATGCTTTAGTTCTTGTTCTGAAAAGAAAAACACCACAAAAAAGCCTTACAAAAATTACTCTGACAGTACCATGGTACACTGATTGTATCAGATGGTAATACCATGGTACTTTTAATAAATGCCAGGATACTTAATGACTTCCATATACATATACCATGGTATTTACACTACATGGTAGTCCAAGGAACATGATACCTGTGAGACACAGATACAAATGGGGTAAATAATGTATTATGTTTTGATTAAAGGGTTAGTTCACCCAAAAATGAAAAATTCTGTCATTAATTACTCACCCTCATTTTTCCAAACCTGCAAGACCTTCGTTCATCTTCGGAACATAATTTAAGATATTTTTGATGAGATCTGAGGACGCTCTCACCCTCCCATAGACAGCAAGGTAACTACCACGTTCAAGGTCCAGAAAAGTACCAAAATGATCGACAAAGTAGTCCGTGTGACATCAGTGGTTCAACTACTTTGTCGATCATTTTGGTACTTTTCTGGACCTTGAACGTGGTAGTTACCTTGCTGTCTATGGGAGGGTGAGAGCGTCCTCAGATCTCATCAAAAATATCTTAAATTATGTTCCGAAGATGAACGAAGGTCTTGCAGGTTTGGAAAAATGAGGGTGAGTAATTAATGACAGAATTTTTCATTTTTGGGTGAACTAACCCTTTAATCAAAACATAATACATTATTTACCCCATTTGTATCTGTGAGGCGTACATTACACATTTTACCTGTGTGTTAACGTCAGTATTTATGACTGTCGAATGTAATGTATTTTGCCCCTGCCCCCAAACATATAATTCGACTATCAGTCGACTATCGGCAAGATTCGACAATTCTGATTCGACTATGTAAATCCTTAGTCGGGGACACCCCTAGTATGATTTCCATTCCAAATAAGTTCTGTTCTTTCAAAGAATCCTGGTAAAAGTATCACCATTTCCAAAAAAATATTAAGCAGCACAACTGTTTTTAACATTGATAATTTTAAGAAATATTTATTGAGCCGCAAATTAGGATATTAGAATGATTTCTGAAGGATCATGTGACACAGAAGATTTGAGTAATGATGCTGAAAATACAGCTTTGCTATCACAAAACGTAAAAAATGATACTTTAAAATACATTCAAATAGAAAATATTAAAATAGAAAAAATGTATTTGTTATACAGTTATAAATTATAAACATCACAATATTTTTATTTATTTATTTTTTTTTGTGCATTTTTTGCATTTTGGGGAGCAAAGGTACGGTGGCCATGAAGTGCAAAACAAATCACAATTCTGAAAACAAAATAACAAATTACAAATGCAAATGCAAGTCTAAAAAACGAAATAACAATTCACAAAACAACAACAAGTCAGAAAACCTTGTTAGCAGTAATTCTGCGCTCCAACGTGTGATTGGGCTAGTCAACACTTTAAAAGCGGCCATAAAACAATCAACTCCAGTGGCGCAGATGGTTCAGTGCGTGTCATCAGCTTTTTGACGCGATCGACCCGGGTTCGATCCCACCTTTTGCCTAACTTTTTTTTCCTCCCTTTTCAAATCTCGTATCACATCGTAAAGGCATTTATTTTCAATAAAAATTAAGGAAATAATCAAAAAGTTGAAAATAAAGTATCGGGTAGGGTTAGGGTAGGTGTAGGGAGGGCTTTATTGTACCAATAAGGTGGAATCCCTTTAATAATTAAAATTAAAATGATAATTTACACTCAATACGTTATTATTGCATACTGTTTTATAATGTACTACAATACTGAAGTGCAGATAATTGCCACTATTTGCAACAAGTAGTATACATAGAAATCGTGCTATTTTAACATAGTGTAAATAGATACGAGATTGGAAAAGGGAGGAAAAAAAAGTTCGGCAAAAGGTGGAATCGAACCCCGGGACGATCGCGTCAAAAAGCTGACGACGCACGCTTAACCATCTGTGCCACTGGCACTGGTTTTTTACAGCTGCTTTTAAAGTGTTGACTATCCCAACTAGGAATTACTGCCAACAAGTCAGACTATTTGCACTAAGTGTAAATAGACACTCCATATTTTTTATTCCATAGTAAGGGCAATTCATACAATACATTTAAACTGAGCTACTTTAATACCATCTCCGAACTTTCTACCACGACTCTGCTGTTCTTCGGCTGGTTCTTCCCTGTATAAGTTGATTGACAGATGTCTCGTCCAGTCAGCAGTGAGGAATCCCAAACCACTGGCGCTGTCTCAAACTGTACCTACCTCTTCCGGTTTGTCTGATTTGTCATTGTGTTTTCTGACTTGTT